TCATTAGAATACAGTTCACTATGAAATATGATACTGTGGCATTTCTCTTTATTTTGATCTATTAATCTGTCTTGTGCTAAAATGTATCATGCCATCTGCAATGTTTAAGGTTTAATAACCCCTCAAAGGCCCAAACTGTTGGCTTCTTGGAGAGCAACACGGAAATTGTTAGAAAACATGTACATCTATAATACAAATTCAAAGTTGAATCTGTTTGCTGGTCCCTGTAGAAGAGGAAGTTTTATGTATCTTTCTGTAGGCACCAGCTTACCATTTCTTCATGTGTAGCTGTTAAAAGAGCATGCATAAAGATGAGTTCTTAGATGTCTGATAGGAATTTACTTACCCAAAGATCCTATTTGCATGTGACAAAGTAGATGCATATAGAGCCTGGGTTTCATTTTATGCTTACATTGAGCCTTTCAGTGACTGCTGCTGAGCACATCCCTGGAATAACAAGCAGCATTTGCAACTTCTCCCCCTAGAAGTTTATATCGCTTCTGCTGGATCAAGACTGTAGAAAGTTACAGGGAATATGGTAACATATTCTACGTTTGCATGAGTACCGAAAGGAATGGACAGCATTAAAGAATTCCTGTTGCAATGATGCAATGGGTATTTTGGCTAAAATCCTGGGCCACTAAGTGAAGGAGTGTTTCCATGTGCTATTAATGAAGCTGGGATTTCACCCTCAATGTTTACCAGTAAGATTGATCCAAGCAATTTTGTCAGACCTATGGCTGAGCACAGCTTCATGACTGTTACTCAGTGTCCTCGCTTTCAAGTCCATAGAACAGCTGAAATGATATGGCAAAGTTTGTACTTCACAGTCTGTTTTGACCAGAGTCTTGCAGTACCAGTGGTTTTGGGCTGCCTGAAACATTTGTGGACTGAATACATCATACCTTGAGCACAGGCTGTGTTTGACCCCATCGTGATGAACTAATCCAGAGCGTCCACATGCTCTCATGGTTGTCTACAGTGCAATAACAAATAATTTGTTTTACATCAAGTCTGGTTGAATTTGGCCATGCAAGGTCTGCTTAAGGTTTTGTTTCATTATTTTCAATTAATGGATACCACAAAACTTCACAGAAAGGGAGGTTGTTCAGTTGAAGAGCTCCATCCTAGTTGTGTACTACCTGTAGGCAGCAGAAAGCAACTACAAACCAGATAAATGGAGAGGATTACTTGTCCATTCACAAAGAATGGGAAGAAGATACATTATTACAGAAAAGTGTTTCAAAGTATTGCTGTTTCATATGTACTGTATGTCACTTAGCTGTCTTCACTAAATTAAAGGACAGCCATTACATAACACAGCTTTGCAACACAGCTGGCGGCAATGCAAGGTGAACATACTCTGTTCTGTTTCTGAAAAAAAAAGAATCTTGAAAGGGTTAAGGGATTAAGTGTACTTTCAGGTACAAAAGTATGTGTAGATAATTGCTTTCAATATCCATGGGAAAGAAAAAAAGTTTCAGATTAAACGATCAACATCCCTGCCTTTGGTTATTGGAAGGTATTTCTCTTCTTAAGTGTGGGAGGAAACAGGTAGTGAATAACTACATTCCATATTATTGTTAATGCACAGGAACCTGACAAAAACAAATCTTTGAAATGGCATAATCTATATCTAAAGCCAAAGTGCAAGCAACAGTCAATCGCATTTTCATTCCGAGGATGCTTGGATAGAAGACTTAATTGCTTACTGATGCAGGGAAATGAGGAAATTCTCATTTTAAAGAAAAGCTTAGTTTGCCACCAGCTTTGTTTGTTCTGAATTTAGATTTTTGCCCTTTTTTTCTGGCACTGAATGTTCAATGCAGCCAGTATCTGAACATATTGCATAGCCAAATCGGCATTGATTATATCACATAATAATATAAGTAGTAATATCAAGTCCTTTATGACTTGATTTCTGATTTGGAGCAGATCAGGAATTTTCTGGTGAAGTGTTTTTTTTCTTGGGAAAGGCTGATGTGCTGACACCAAATATTTTCACGTATAAAATACCCATTCCAATGAATGGTCAGGAAAACAAAAATCTATAACGGACTTCCTGCATGCTTGCTGGGAGTCTGGGGACTCCTGGTTGTGTTGCTCGAAGGAAGGCTTACATGGAAAACAGCCTGAGAGCACAGGGCTTGAGAGCAAAGCCAAGAGCAAGATACAAGCCCCAGCTCCCAGAGTTTGACTCAGCTGTAAGATCTGGATATTTGCAGGCTCCCATCTCTCCCTCTCAGCCCCTTGGGACAGCACATTAAAAAACATGAATTAAGACCAGAAATGTTCTTGAGAATATAGTCATCAGTCCCACTCATTACAAGCAGGAGTAGGTGGGACCATTTAACTGAGAAGAACCACACTCAGAGATGTTATCATCTACTTTGTGTTTAAATACTTTCCTGGAGATGGGAAATTTCAACAATTTTATGAGTTCTCCCATTTTTCATTGCAACTGAAATTTTACATTTTGGACTATCCATAAAAGTTAGAGAAAATAGTAAATAACGCCATTGTTCTTTGATCACAGCACAGAAAAGATAGCTTCTGATGGCTGCGTAGCTATCTGCTTGCTGTAGTTCTTAAAATGTTTCACAGAGTTGGCAATGTAACCCAAATAATTTTTATTAACTAAAAGCAGGTTAATACATAAATATCATAGTAGTAAAACAAAGGCATATGTGATCATCCCCTGTGTATCCCAGGCATTTCACATTTTGCAAATTGTCTGCTCATGCCAGTATGTCAGACAACAAAATTACCACAAAGGTAATTCTGCTGTAAAATGAACTTTTTACTTTTCATCAAACAAAGTTAAAAATGGAGAGTATAATAGCTCAGGGAAACTGCTGTGCTAATGTATCTAGAAGTTTCCCAAACCAGACCACACATCTTGCTGGATTGGAGCTTGAATAAATTCATGATTGCCTGAACCCATCTGTGTAGATGTACCCTAGATCCTGGCCATTCTTTGCCCTTCAAATGCTGTTAAAAGTAGGAAACTAGGGTAGAAAGAAGTGTTCCCTGCAATACAGGATAATGCAGTTGTAGTCGGTGGAAATGCTGGAGCCTCTGTGGTATGAAATATGTATATTTCAAATAAATGCATTAGTGCAATATTTAAATTTGCAAGAAAACAGTGGTATAGCATGAATAATTTTCCTTCTAAGTAAGAATGTGCAAATCATCTTAACAGACAAAACCCTGAGCCTTTAAAACAGTTTGAACACTGCATTATAGCTTATTATTTATTCCTTTGAGAAATTATACATTCTCGTCTTTACTCAGACAACAGAGCAACACTGCTGTCAAGCATGTACTATGGTTATGACCATTACTAAGGTGACAACAGAAAATGTCATTACCGCATCATCATTTAGTTGGTTGGCGTAATTTCCCCATATATTTCTTGACCTTTTTGCATGTTAACTCAGTTGCTGGGTTACCACTGTCCTACTGTGGAAACAAAAACCTGCTATGTAATCTGCCTTTACCTCACAGTGTTATTTCAAGGTATTGTCAAAGGCATTAGGTGCTTGTCAATTGTTAAGGATCATGGTTCCACAAATATTCCAAAGAAAAATAACGTAAAGAGTGAACCATAGAAGGTAGTGCTCCTCTTTTTCTTATTTTTCTTTGTTGTTGTTCTTGTTGTTATTTGTTTATTTTTCTGTGGATATAACAATCCAATATATAATATCACACGAAAAGTGTGCAGGGGAGAGAATGAACACCTGGTCATGTCATGGGTTTGGAAAGTTTGAATGTAGTTACAGTTTTACCATTTTAATTTTGTCATCTGCAAATGTTAATAAGCGTAGTATACACAGTTCCTCAGAAGGAGGAGTGGACTGTTCAAGATTAGCACCGTTTCATTAATTTAATTCATACCCTCTGCCCCCCATCCTGCATTTGGCAGGCTTTTCCAAATAATGCTACCAGAGTACAAAAAGGTATAAAATGAGGAGTGGCTCAGTAAATAACAGAAGTCAGCACTGACTGCATATAACGTTAGTTATGACACACAGTCGAGTATTCAATCAGGCCTTTTTACAAGCAATTGATATTCTCGATAGCCTGTGCATAGTGTTGTCGAGAGAGTTAGAAGGATGTTAACATTTCATTACTCTTGCCATTGATTTTTTTTCTGCTTTCTTCACAACAAAAGTCAGAACGTGACCTCTTATTCCACTGAATTAGTTCCAGAGCACTTGGCATTATTGACCTCCTAATGAAAATTAATGATGGCTATTTTGATTCAGTCTTTCAAGTAGGCACACCAAGCACATTTAAGAAACAGGCACATTTATTTCCATATTGAAATGAAATAAGACACTGTTAAGTGATGAATCGTACATTAATGCAACATTAAATTTGCAAATTTAAGCACATAGAATTCAAGAAGTTTAAAATGCATTATCAGGAGCTGATGCTACAAAGATTTAAGCTTGGCAATATTTTCAGACTTGGAAAGCCAATGAGTTTTACAAGTAAAGCTACACATATGCTTAGAACATTTCAGCCCCAGGCCCTAAGTTTATCGTAAAATTCTGGCAAGACTGAAATGTTTTTACGAAGCAACAGAGACAATTGCACATTAGCTTAGGTATTTCCATGCTTTTCTTTTCCCTTTGAAACCTAGAGAAGATTTCAAGCTCTTTTCTGTGACTTTTCTTCTGTGCTCACAAGCTGTCACCCCACAGTTGAGTGGATTTCCTTCATATGAGCCTTACACAAATGTTTATGAACAAACCGACTTCAGTGTATGGATATGGATCCCTTCTCCCTTGCATCTGTTTAAATAAGTATTACATCTACCATGTGAAACAGGAAAGGTGAATGGATTCATATCTAGAAATTGGGTGAAAGCTTGCCATTTTATCTAAGAAATTTCCTATTCCTGGGAAATTCTCCCAGAAATAATTCCTGGGAAATTATCTCGGAAATCTGTAATAATGAATAAACTAACACACTTTCTTCGTCTCTGTCCGTAGACAACAAAGACTATGATGCATATCTATCTTATACCAAAGTGGATCCTGACCAGTGGAATCAAGAAACTGGAGAAGAAGAAAGATTTGCTCTTGAGATCCTACCAGATATGCTTGAAAAGCATTATGGATACAAGTTGTTCATACCAGACAGAGATTTGATTCCCACAGGAAGTAAGTCATGTCTTTATGCTTGTGTCTTTCCCAAACCGCAAATGCAGTGATTGCAGTGATTGTTTTAGTATCGCTTCTGTAACTACTCCTTCAAAATGTCATCTTTCCTCTGTCTTAGAGAATGGTGAAGATAAGCCACCAAAGATGCTTAATGTATATTTCCCAGATAAGAGAATTATTTTTTAGTAATTGTATTACATTGATTGAAGTTGAGGCAATGCAGAAAGGGCATGCGTAAGTAAAGGAAATGAATGACACTAGCATTTTTTCACAGATTTTTTGAGAGCTTGCATATCTAGGAATGAATACAGAGGTCTTTGTTTTCTGTTCCTTAGAGTTTGCCTGGAAAGATATCCATGATTCTAAGTATTTATTACAGAAATGCAGACAGGAAGGAAAAAGTTGTGTTTGGACCAAGGCAAGAGTTGACTAATGCTGTTTACAGCAGAGCAAAGTAGTGAATTCTGTTAGTGTCCACTGCAGATAAATGTGCAGGGGAGGTACTGGATCATTCTCAGATACTGAAAATTAGAATTGATTCCAGTGGGTACAAGTAGATATTTTTCATGTTACTTTCACATATTCCAAACTCCATACAGTAATTTTTTTGTAAGTTGCTGTGGTATTCTTCATAACTTCAGTATAACCACATACACAGCTACTAAAATCAGTACCTTTTACTAAAGATGAGAAAGGATGCTTGCTATAGGCAAAACACAACATCAAACAATTGCATGGATATTTTCTAAATTTACAGCAAACTAAACATTAATTTGCAGGAGGCAACACTGTTCTTGTGAACGTGTGTGGAGGGGACATGAAAGGAAAAGAAGAATCTAACCCTAAAGTACACCTTAGAGTATTATTTAGATTTAAGACTGAAGCACATAGTTGCTGCTTTGTTGCCTACCTGGATGACTTTGCTCCTTTAAAGAAAAAAGATGGAGATGGACACACTTGTTCCAGTAAAGATACAGATATTGATACAAAACCACAGCTTATAAACAAACACTCACAGTCCATAGTGCATGGGGGAATAGATGTTTTCCAGGATCACAGAATGTTTGAGGTTGGAAGGGACCTCTGCAGGTCATCTTGTCCAACCCACCTGCTCAAGCAGGGCCACCTAGAGTAGGTTGCCCAGGACTATGTCCTGCCAAGCAAACCTGGCAGGTTTGCAAGTGATGTTTTTTGCATATTTCAGTGAGCTCTTCTGGGAGCAGGGATTTGCATCTGTTGTTTCTCCCTAGTCTATAGGAGCAGAGTATTTTCTTAGATTGATTTTTGAGCAATTGTCTTATTTTGTAGCCTACATTGAAGATGTGGCAAGATGTGTAGACCAAAGCAAGCGACTGATCATCGTCATGACTCCAAATTATGTGGTAAGAAGAGGCTGGAGCATCTTTGAACTGGAAACGAGGCTTCGAAACATGTTAGTCACGGGCGAAATCAAAGTGATACTGATTGAATGCAGTGAACTACGAGGAGTAATGAACTACCAGGAGGTGGAGGCACTGAAACATACCATCAAGCTCCTCACTGTCATTAAATGGCATGGACCAAAATGCAACAAGTTGAATTCCAAGTTCTGGAAACGTTTACAGTACGAAATGCCTTTTAAGAGGATTGAACCCATCACACACGAGCAGGTTTTAGATGTCAGTGAGCAGGGGCCCTTTGGGGAACTACAGACAGTCTCCGCAATTTCCATGGCTGCTGCCACCTCCACTGCTCTTGCCACTGCCCATCCAGACCTGCGCTCCACCTTTCATAACACATATCATTCACAGATGCGCCAGAAACACTATTATCGAAGCTATGAATACGATGTACCTCCTACCGGCACCCTGCCGCTTACCTCAATAGGTAACCAGCATACCTACTGCAACATCCCTATGACACTTATAAACGGGCAGCGGCCACAGACAAAAACTAACAGGGAGCAGAATCCGGAAGAGGCTCACACAAACAGTGCGATACTGCCCCTCTTGCCACGGGAGACCAGTATATCAAGTGTCATTTGGTGACCGAAATGCAAGGGGCCGTCAACCCCCTTGAATAGGAGCTGAGTCTGCAGTCCGGTGCCTGGAACTACATCCTCGACTGCTGCTGTTAAACATGCATTACAATCGATAACATATGAGGAAAAACAGGGTCTTGTACATATGTTTTTTGCAATTTCTTTGTAGCATCAGTCTTCCTGTTTTACCCATGTCTCTTCCCATTCACATTTTCGACTTTGTTTTATATGTCATTGGAATTTGTATATTTACATTTTTTTAAATGAAGAGACTGCTGTATAGATAGGAAAATTTTTTGCTTCATTAGTATAGTTTTAGACTTTTTGTTTGTTTGTTTTTAACCTCTCTTGGGAATGCTTGGACAAAACTATGTTGATACCAGAAGCACCATCCATTTTGTTGGCCTGCCTAGCCTGATTCCTGAAGGCCATGCCTGCTGCAGTTCACCTCTTTTGGAGAATATTTGTTCTTAGAAGGACCCCATCCCTCACTGAGAGCTCCAGTTTCATTTCTACTCCCGTAATGTGCACTGCTCCTTCCCTGCCCTTACAATGACCCCCATTTGGGGTAACACTACGGTCTGATCATCTAACATGTAACTTGGTAGATACCTGTCAAACAACAGAATATACCCAATCTGTATCGGTTGCTTCACAGTAGTCACTACAGAGTGTGTAGAAACTAGAGATGGTTTGGCTTTTGCTTTCTTGGGTTTGGTTTTTTTAATTATTATTTTAAGAATGAGTTGATTGTATCCCTTTTATAAATATAAAAGCAAACCCTATTTTTAACACTTCCTGGAAAAGTATTAAAGTGGTTGTGGATTTTATTTTTTAGCATTTAACTTTTTCTTTCCCCCCTTTCAAAATCCTGCAAATAAGATCATTTGCAATTGTCAGGCAAGTAAGACAAGTGAGGCAATAGGCACTGAAGCGCAGAGAGTTCTGCTTTTGATGACTTCCAAACCAAAGGGGAATAAAAAGACAGTGTTGTAGATGGTTTGTCACTTTATATTATAGAAAGTGTTATTTTCTAAAAAAGTAAGAGCAAAACATTATTTTGCTGTGGATTACAGAGTCCCCTTGTATTTTAATGTTCCCAAACCTGTATTTGCTTTAAAATTATATATTCAGGATTAAGAAAACTTCTTTCATTTGGTTTTAGCTTGTAATGATAAGTAAAACTTTATTAAGTTCAACATGATTTCAGTAAGATCTCAGGCAGAAAAAAATGACATGAATACCAACAAGTATCACTGTTTTCAGAATAAACTTTATTTATACAAAATTAATATTTAAATCAGACCTGGAAGTATTAAAAACATTTTATTCACTTTAATGAATAAATAAATTAGTTTTATTTTTTATGTATGATTCTATCTTTGAGGAGTTGCAAATAATGTGTGTACCATGGCTGCCAGGGAAGGAAAAAAAAAAAAAACAAAACCCACCCGCTATGTATACATCTGGACATCTTTAAGACAAATGAAATAAGCATCTTATGTTTTAAACAATGGAAAAGTTGTTTCTGGTTTTAAAAAGAGTGAGGAGCGGTGTTGTAGCTCTACAATATATTCAGGCCAAGCTTTCTGGTAGTCTCTGCTAGCAGAAGCAGAGGAACTGGGGTAGAGTTACTGGTTTCAGCACACTGTCATGTAGTCATGAGCTTGATTTACGCCGTCAGAAATGTAAATGGTATCCTGGCAAACAGACCTCGTAGTCTGTTTATGTAATGAATTAGCTTTAGGTATTTTTATGGTAGCTGAATGCTACTGGCCAATGTAATGGATGTGTGGGGTTTGTTCATCCTGATTGGCAGAATGAGAAAAGTACAGCTTATAATATTTTAGTTTTCTTAATGGGAAGTGATAGGTAGAGAGTGGGTAAACTGCAGTTTGGGGGATGTTTGTGGGAGTAATCCAGAACTGACAGTGTGGGAGGAAATGACTATGCTCCTGTTGTGAAAGTCAAGAAATCTCTGTATCTGCATAACAAGCTAATAGAGCTTTGGGATATGCACTGATTTTTATTTGCTTAAAAATGTTTATTTCTCTGACAATTTGCTCAAGTCCTTTCCTACAGTCTGTTCTTTATCACGGTGTCTCCCTCTGGACATGTGCCAAACAATCACAAAATGGAAATGAAGCTGCCAGGCCAGATAAAATTTTAAGGAGAACTTTGCACGTTTGGTTATTTTCATAGTGTAAGAAAGCTATTATTTATTTGCTCTTACAGACACCTGTCAGGCACTGATGGCATTTGCCTTCATTCATCTGGATGCCAAATACTCCAGTATCCTCTGAAAACAATGCATTTTTTCCCCCCTTCCCTGGGGTAAAGACTGGGATGCGGAATGAACGTAGGATGTAACTATCTGATCGCAGTCACATTTAGACGATCAGTAGGTGTTTCCTTAACCACATGGGGCGTACTTTTCTGTTGTTCTATTTTTAGTGTAGTTTTAAGCACTTTGAATAGCATGATTCAGGGATTGATGGATACTATTTGATATTCACACTACTTAAAAAAAAAGGTTTTCTTATGATTTTTGTCATAATATTTAACAGAAGAAAAACAAACAAAAAAAAAAGAAAGAAAACACAAAACAAAACCTGAAATAAATGGAGAAGCTGTCTATGGCTTTAGAAACATTCCTCCTTGGTATTCCTCCTATATGAACACCTCTGCGTGGGGAACAGTGAAGGAAACTGTTGCGTGTTCACGTGCTCTATGCTTGATGAAATTTCTGTTGGAATGCAAAATGAAAAAAATGAAAAAAAAACAAAACCCAAAAAACAAACAAAACCAACAGCAAACAAACTTGTCATTGCCCTAGTACTTAGGCTCCATCCTCTTTTGGTGAAGGTGTTCCACTTTTGACAATGCAGCCTGAAGTGTGCATGCAATAGCCACATAAAAGATTTAGCCATAAGCAAATAGCACTTTATTTTAAAAACTGCACAGTGTGATGATTGGAAAAACTTACCCTGCCTGGTCAGTAACTCCGAGTCTGTATGTGGATTCTATGCACGTGAATTATCCAAGTGTGGTGCTTTGTCTTTATAAGGCTCTCTTTAATCAGGGTAGTCCTTGATATAAAACTAAAGGACTCTGTTGCACAACCTGTGGAAATTCAGTATATAGGTTCTCTGGACAGCACATATAGCTGGACAGAAATGGGGGACTGTACAATATGCAGCTAATTATTTTGAAGGCAAAGTGCATTTCTGGGTCTGATTCTGTTCTCAGTTGCAGCATTATGATTTGAGAGTAAATCTAACAAAGTTGAATGAGTGTAAGATTGATTTGTGTGGGAGAACAAAACTGCAAAAGCAAAGAGAAAAGGAATTCATATTTGCAGTCTGTGACAAGCTGAAATCTTGGCTGCAAGGAAAGCAGCAGAAAAATGTCTTCTGCATTTTAGTAGAGACCCAGCTCTCACCTGGCAGCCAACATCAAACACTTTCGATATGATTGGGTTCAGAGCTAAATACTGTTAGGCTTAGATGCAAACTAAGATTTTTCTATTACTGCACAGCTGTGAAAACCATGTGTATGTTACATAATGGGTGATAATCAGCTTCAAAATAATTGGAAAGCTTGTTATACCAGCCTGATTAAAATTCACAAAGTTTTACTTGGATATTGTGCATTAATGACACATTTAAATTATAGATAAAGCGGTGAGATTTGGGGAAAAGTGGCCTGGTAAACAGGCTTCCTTCATTCTTAAATTGGGGAGAAAAAAAAAAAAAAAAAAAAAAAGACAATTTCAAGCTAGCAAGCCTAAGGACAATTTAATTAAAATCCAAAGAAGAAAAAAAAAAAAATCACAGCAGTAAATTAAGCTCAAAAATAGGATGAAGGCCAACGGAAAAGAAAGGTCAAAATATCCACCTGTTTTTTGACTGTATTGTGGCTTATTTTGTCATGCAAAGCTCTGTACTCTGGCTGACCTACATAAAGCAACTGGCTTTTTTGGGGCCCATCCAGACAGATCAGCAACACAGATATGTCCCGGTATGTCTAATACACTTCCAAATTATTTTGTCCTTGTTGGTAGTCTAGCACAGAGAGTTTTTGATGTGTCTTCTATTGTTGTGATACAGAGGATGGCAGAAATCTGCCAGTGCTAAAAAAAATATCTCTGTAACAGGCTTAATTTAGTATCCAGAGTAACTATATTCCTTCACACCCACCCCTTATCTGATTTGCCATTATTAGAACACTTTTTTAAATCCATGTCTCAGCTAAGCAAGAGATTAATGTGACTGGCATCAGAAAAAATGTAAGCAATTTCATAACAATGAGTCTCCTTGTATAATGAATGCTGCAAGTTCCCTTGCATTTTTTCGGTATAATCACAACTCTTCACCTCCTAAATAGCCCACCGAGTGGAGGTTGGAGAACACCATTGTGTCTTTCATTTGCGAATCACTGAATTTAGTATGGATACTGAGCTGTCATTCATGATGTAATTTTGCTGGGCTATTTCCCATTGGCTCTGGCTATATCCTCCAAGAAGATGTGTTGGCAGCATCACACTTCTCCAGCTGGCCTTGGGTTGATGTTCCAGAACTTGGAGTTGTTGCCCTGGGGAGTGAAACTAATAGAAATGTTTCAGCTATTAAGAGTTTTCCTATGCTTTTTGTTTGTTTAAATTCTGTTTAAGACAGTTTGACCTTCTGGATTAATAAACTCTGTGGGTGGGAGGTCAAGAGTCCACAGAGTCATGAAGTAGAGCAGAAATTACAAAGGCAGACCTGATACCTTATTTGGAAACTGGATAAATTCTGAGGCTGCTCAGGTTACTAAAAATTGAGTACATTGAGATTGAGGGTTGTTGAAGGAAAGCATTCTGTTTGTTATTACAACCAGCCTCATTCCAAAAGCTCATCAGCATTCTTATATTAAATAGCCAACATCCTAGATAATGTAATTTCAGAAACATTCAATAGTCAATTAAAATATTTTCATTTTGTTGGATTAAGAGTAACATGATTCGCT